TAACGTATATGAGTGGGTGTCATGCAAAGAATGACATTCTTTCATTCCCATGAAACATTTGTGTTGGTTTTATTAAAATCCTCTTGGGCTATTGGTCATGCCAGATGGTAAGAACTTGTTGATGTTTCAGGTACTGTCTCGGTCCCCATCATCAGGGTGCCACATGTAATACCCTGATGATGAAGATAGATGTGGTCCCTGAAATGATAAGTTTTTGCCATGTGACAGAGCTGATAGCCCAAGAGGATTTTATTAATTCAGTTTGCAATGAAAGTTGTAGATGTGATGGCAGCTTATCAGTTTAGATTTTGCCTTCTTGTCTAAATTGTTTACTGTCAGTGAAATTAAATTACAGATAGGTCTAAAACTTGAACTTAAATCATAGCTTCATTCCAAATTAATCTGTGTCTTTCTGGAAGTAAATACGAGAAGATGAAGTGTGGGCCACGAACTTAAATAACTTCGTTTCGTCACACTGCCCGTCACAAAGCAGTTAAGAATTTATTTTGTGCTCCTAGAATACTGGACGTCATTTTAGTCAAGTCATTTTTCCATGTAAATGTGATCAGAACTTCCTGATAATATATGAGGGTCACTCCAGAAGTAATCCCCATAATATTATTTTATAGATCGGTATTTATTCCATAGCACTCTTATTTGTAGAGAGGACAACATATCCTATTTTCTTCCATGAATTTCCTTGATGTTAAAATTCTGGTCCTGTGTTTGCAACCACTGCGTGACACCCATGACAAGAGAAGCATCTTTAAATTCTGTCCCATGAATGCCATCTTTCAGCTTAACCGAAAATATTGTCATGCCTCTGAGTTTATGGTAATTCCTGTGGGCATACTAGAATTCATACAATGACTGTGAGTCCTATTAAAATGTTCAACTTACTTCGAGCTTCTGTCGTACAGTTTTCGTCCCTCTTGGCACATATAGTGGTGTTCGCATCCTCTGAAACATAAATTTCAGAGGAAGGATTGAGAAAATTAATCAGTTTAACCCAGGACAATGACTAAAATTTTATGTGAGGGTGTTTCCTGCACATCATCAGTTGTTTTCTGCTGAGAAATGTTGTAGGAATAATACCTCCAGACACTGATTAGTGGACAGCATTCTTACTTCATGATGCCAATCATCACAAGCTTTCCTAAATTTATCTAGAATGTCTGTCAGATTAATTAGACTGAAGTTGCAATTTGTTCTTTCCAGTCACCCAGCAAAGTGTTTGTAACATGAGAAATAGTAATATATTTTTACCTGTCAGTGAACCTAGACCAAGAATTGAATTGTAATGCCTAATTTTATCTTCGAACTATTGGATGAACTGTCAGTTGTTTTGACTTCATGAATTTTGAATGTTATTATCAAGACCTCTTTCAGGAGGATAGCATATGCCACCCATTTAGAGAAATTGTTTAACTCGGTAATCCAAGTAGGATTTGAGGTTTTTACAGCAGTGAAACTTCTGGGTCGCTGCTTCCATCATCAGGACCCTGATGATGGAGGCACCAAGGATCTCTGAAACGTTGGTAAACTTAAATCAGACTACATGGCACTACAACCCAGAATACAGCCATCTTCTGGTAATTCATTAGGTTTTAGTAATGAAAATAAATTATGACAGGTTTAGGGACTAATTAACTAACTCCATGAAGCAAAGTCATTCTTGAGAAGTTTATAGTCTATCATCTGATACAGAAATTCACTGTGTTCAAAAGAGCCCGCCATTAGCCTGTTTCAAGCCAGATGTTCCCAGTCTGCACTCTACCATCCTATTTAAGATCCATTTTAGTGTATACACAGGTTTTCCAGGCGGTTTCTTTCTTCTGTCTTAAGTAAATTAGTAAAAGAGTTCAGGTATCTGTCATATTCTGAAAAATGTACAAGAGTAGACTGCACCTACTTGGCAAATAATAGGGTACACACGAGCATGTGGCAAGTGTGTAGTTGGCCTCACACTCCAGAGCGCAATTTCTCTGTGTGTATGTACGGTAGAACTTGAGGTATTTTTCGTTAGAGAACAGACATTGCCGCTTGCTTTCTGGGATTTTTCGGAGTGAAGGTGAAGCATTACTTATTATTGGCCTGATGGTCACTCTGTACTCTTCTCCAGCAGATACCAGGAACCCAAAATCGGCCACCTTTGGTGTCTCAACAGGATTGTGGAGTCTCACCTGCAAGCCATATTTTAAAAATTGAGTCATTCCACATGAATCTGCAATATTCATACATTGTCTTGGCCAAGTCAGAGAGGCGAAGCCCTAACTGAAAATCAAGGTTTTAATGAATTACTAGCTAGATACATACCTCATAACTCAGAGGCAGTGTTTGGTGGAATAATAATTTGCAGGAGAAAGCAAAATTATTTACAGAGAAATATACTCAAATGCCATTTAGTTGCCAGGAAATGCAACACTTAAAACCCTGGACATGAACTTGGACCTCCACAGTGAGAAGTTGGCTCTAAGAGCCTTTGGTGTAGCTGCAATCCATCAGAAAATAATGTTTATATTGGTCACTCCCAAGTGTGTGACATCAAGAGCTCTTCTATTTGCTTATTTGACAGTGCGGTTCTGACCTTGAAACCAGTACTGGCTGTGGATGAGCAGTAGTAATCATCTATCTTGGCATCTAACACCAGTGTGAGCCCTAAATGTGACCCTGTACCACGAGGTCTCCAGGGCAATGTTCGTGTTGTAGATTCAGGTGGATACCCTGCTTCTGGGGTCCAGTCAGTAGCTGACATTGGGAATGTCACATTCAAATCAGAAAGGTCACGCCTGAAACATTTATGTTTTTGCTTAATACAGAGACTTTGAAAAGAAGATCATCGTTGAACAAAAAGTGTGGTTTCAGTTGGGCATAGAGATGATGATGAGCTGATCATGATCGTTAACCATTTTTAGGCACATTCACAACTATAAGTTGCAAAAATATTCCTGTTAGCTTTACGTTATGTCTTTCTTTTGACATGCAACAACTGTGGGACAGTTGAATGGAATTTAAAGAAATTTTTGTACAATTCAGGACTCGTGCATGTATAGAAGCTGTGGAAGTGTGGGGGAGAATAAGCAGAAGGAACACGTCTTATCACTGCTCCAAGAATGAGTGAATGTGATGGTTTGGAAGTATTTGCTGCGGTAGCCAGTGTGAGAGTTAATATTTTCATTAGTGTATAAAAATCAGTAGTGCAGTGCAGTGGAGCAGGCTTGCGTGTTGCTGGCAGTGAAGTAAAGGAAGTGTATCACGTTATGAGTATATTAAAGGCTGATGATTTCATATAGTAGCACACCTTACATTTCAGTAAGATCCAATTTGGTATTATTTTCTCATCTACACCTAAATCTAACAAGTTGTAATTTGTTATTCACACTTTTTAATGTTCTGTCTGTAACGCATTAACATTTCAGACACAAACATTCACACATTTTTCTCTATTAAATGTTTTACTTGTAATCTGTCTTTTCCTGGTCATCGAGTATTTGCATAAAACATTTTAGATTTACGTTTTGTGACTTTGACTACTGAGAGATTGCTATGAAGACTGAGGACAAGAAGAATTGTTTTAGACTATTTTGTGACTTTGAGTACTGAGAGATTGCTATGAAGACTCTGAGGACAAGAAGAATTGTTTTAGACTTGTAGTTATTTTAGTAACTCACGGGTTTCTGAATATGAAGTCACGCTTCACTTTGTTGAAGGAGCAGCAGATTCCTTCATCTGTGAGTGAAGGATTGAATATATCTTCACATTTCTCTAGTTGCCCTGCATAATAACATGACTGAATCATATCATGACATGGTTGCCTGACCTGTAAGAAACGAAATATGTTCTGTGTGGTACAGATACATTCAGTGCAGCTTATCCCCAAAAACTGAAGTTGTACATGGAACAAATATGTTGAAATTAGACCTTTTACAGCCTCGATGGAGACACATTAGCAATCATTTTCAGGATGCCTTTTGGGCTGTCTCAGCTTCCACAGTGGTGGTACACATTACCCTGACAAGCAGTTTCCTGTTGTCCTTCCCGTGGCATGTGGTAAAGACTTTTAACTGGGTACAGCTGTATAATTATTGTTGTCTCACTGTGTATGTATAAATTAAACAAATATGTCTGCATTTATCTATTTATGTATCCAGGCTTAAGTTAATAATATAGTTTATACTAAGTCTGTCGTAATGAGTATATGTGGACAGGAATGTGTATGTACTGGGAAATTAATAGACTTACGTATGTCATGAAATTTTGGATTGTGTCCCAGTTCCCAATTCGGTTTTCCACATCTTTATCTTTGACAGTGCTGCTACTGTATATTTCATAACTCTCGTCACACAAGTCTTTCAGCAATATCTTGTTCAGGGCATCTTCAGGATTTCTGCGGAAATAAACTGGTACTAGAAGACATTCTTACTCTGTAAGATTTGATGTTTTTACAGCGGTGTGTATGAATATTTATGTCTTCTGGGTTGTTGCGCTGTGTAGTCTGGTCGACGTTAACCAACGCCCTGATGGCGGAGGCAGCATGACCTCTGAAACCTTGGTTAACATCGACCAGACTACACAGCGCAACAACCCAGAAGACAGAAATCTTGATTATAGTACTTAATCTTACATTTGTAGTGCCACAGATGTTGGCTAGCAGGGTTTCACTTTATTTGGGGATTCCCCTTGAAATTATACAGGTTATTTCTGTTCTGAGACATTCCTGGACGCGATGTAAGGATGGCAATATACAGAGGGGTGTTTTATCAAGGTTTGACCATACTCTGTTACAGAAGTGTAAAAGGAAAAATCTGTTTTCTTTGAAGTGTACATTTATTTTAATGAAATATTTCTTGTAAAATAAAATGTTTTATACATACTTTGAATTAAGTATTTCTTCTGCTACAGACTTTCTGGCTTTGTTCATGTTGCATACAGTTACAGCTGGGAAGGGAATGGAGACCATCTTTGTAGCTCTGGCAGCAATAGACTCAATGACTGGGCTGTCATCCCACTTGTGGTATAGAAGAGTGATGAAATAGGCTGCTGTTACTACTGCCAGTATGAAGGCTACTGTCCAGAATATCCTAAAATTTAAACGCAGTAGAGCCACACCCTGAGAGTTTTTCAATTTATAAAATTAATTTCCTGTACAGTACAA